AGACACATAATTATAGGAGATGAAGATTGTCTCTATTTAAATGTGTACACCACGAAAATCGAACTCTCAAAAAAGCGTCCGGTAATGGTATGGATACACGGCGGTGGCTATTCTTTAGGTTCTGGTGATGCTACTATTTATGGTCCCGATTATATCGTGCAGAAAGATGTAATATTGGTTACTCTGAATTATAGATTAGGCGTTCTGGGTACGTCATCCATTATTTTAAAATGTGTTTCTTGTATGTTACTCGTGTTCGTAGTTTTTTCTTAGAAATATACATTAGGCTTACAGTTTTTATATTTTTATATGACTCATTAGTATGTTATGCTATTGTAGTCTACCATCAGATTCAAATAAATTATTACTAAAAATATTACTGAAAATATTAAATAAGAGAATATACTACAAGTAATTAAAAAATGGAATCGATTTCAGCCCAAGAAATTTTATGAAAACAGGGCATATTCGTCGTCTGATTTTAGAAGAAGTGCTTTGCATAGTGCTCTGCATCTAATAATATTATTAATATTAGTTGATTTCAATGTTTGAATTTTTCATCTGCTACATTTTAACTGCCACTAGTATTTTTCTATTATTATTATGGCAAAGTTGCTAAAGTTGAAATAAATGCTTCTAAAAGTAAAAAATTATTTGCAGAGAAAACTAAAAAATTATAATAATTAATTTATCCAGATAGCAAAGCGTGTCTCAGCAAAATCTCGCAAATCTGTGATTGCTTATGATGCTGACAACTTGCCATAGATTTGTCTTTAACGATTTCGAATATACCGACATTGTAGCAACATGCAGACAACAATGTGCATACGTATTGCCAGCAGTTTAACAACAAGATAGCTACATCAATGTTATCTTGCGTTGTCGGCAATATAATAGCATTGTATAATGCATATTATTATGGCAACATGATGACAATAGTACGAATTTTGATGATTTTAAAGTTGTCGGCAAATTACTGGCAAGTTGCTACTCAATGTTATTATATCATGAAGGCATCAAGTTGCCAACAAATAAGGACTCAGTTGCTGCAACTCTGGTAGCAACACATACTTAACAATGCATACTTAACGAGCAATATGCCAACAACAAGACAAACACGTTGCTATCTGGGTATTAACCCTAAAACCAACGCTCTCCTTTCTGTTTGTTTGTTTTTATTTCTCTACTTTTAGATTGAATAAATCAACCTTATAAGAGAAAGAGAGTTTTTACGATTTTTAGGTTTTTTAAACCTCAACGATGAAGTGGCAACAGGTAATCAAGGTCTGAAAGATGTGGTATTAGCGTTAAAATGGGTCCAAAAAAATATATTAAAATTCGGTGGAGATCCAGAAAATGTCACTATCTATGGCCAAAGTGCTGGTGCAGCCATTACACATTGTCTAGCTCTGTCTCCATTAGCTAAAGGTCTAGAATCTTCTCATTATAATAACTTCATGCCTTCTCTTGTTTTAACATGAGAAGAAATGCAAGATTTTACGATAATGTATTTATTAAATTAGTTTCATTACGATATGCCTTGCAGGTTTATTCCACAAAGTGATTTCACAAAGCGGCGTCATTTCAAATCCTTGGGCCTTCAATGAATGGTCGGACGTGGGTTTTCGACTTGCTAAAAAGCTCGGAAAGGAAACATCAGATCCGAAAGTCGCATACGAGTTTTTAAAAACAAGAGCTGCAAGAACACTTACAATGAATTCACAGCGGTCAATTTTCACAGAAGCAGTAAGTGTCTCAATATTGTATTATAATATAGATTATACTATTGTATAATAGTTTAATTCATTATATGTGATGAAGAGAATAAAGTTTTGGTATATAAATATATTTAATTCGATTTATAACATTATCAGGAGAGATTAAGTTTTACCGTGTCCCTCTTCACACCTACTCTGGACACTAAGTCATTGAATCCATTTTTTCCTGAACATCCAAGGGAATATATAAGCCGCGGGATTCAAATGCCCTTCATTTTAGGATTTAATCGTAATGAAGGGATATTTCTTTTAAAAGGCATTTTTTTCGGAGGTAGTATGATTTGCCGCTTTCACTAAATATATGTTTTTGTTTCGTTTTTATTTGTTTTGCACTAGGTTTTATATAGTGTAGCCTGCTAAGAATATTACGATTTTGATATGCACATTTAACAAATACGCTGACAGCATAAGATTTAAAAAGTTTTTATAATAATAATTAGAAATATAAAATGATGTTGAAAGTGACAAATACTAATTAAAATATTCAAACGTATATATTACTTATTTCTAGTTAGCAGTTTAAACATATTATATTTAGTGTATTTCTTAATTAGCATGTTTTTATAACAAAAATGTTAAGTTTATAATGTGGTATTTTTGAGATATTTTTCATTAATTTCAAAAAGACAATTATTTCTTAGCGAAAGTGTCCTTGAAATATTATTCGTTTAGTATATACAATATCCTAAAATAATCATTTTTTATTAAGTATAATCATTTTTTTAAATTATTTCAGATATAAGCAAGAAACACCTGGGAAAAGTAAATACTGATTTTAAAAAAGCAATATTATCAAATACATTATCCAGGTTATCTGAAATGGGAATTACCGTCGAGGAATTAAAAGCCTTATATTTTAAAGGAAAAGCAATATCAGAGGAAACTTGGACAAATTTTTCAGATTTCTTAGGAGATCAATTTTTCGTACGTGATATAATGGAAGTATGTGAAATGCAAAAGTCTTCTGGTGGTTACAACTCTACATATTTATATCATTTCGATTATGACAGTAAAACTATTTTGAAAACAATGCTAAACATCGAAGTTAAAGGTATCATCACGTTAATTAATCAATGAAACCATATAAAACGATATAAAATATCTTATATAAAACAATACAAATCCACTTTACTACTGTCTATAGTGATGTCTTTGAATTTTTATATCGAATTGTGCATAAAGCTACGACAAAAATAAATATACAGAAATGTAGTTTAGAAAAAATTTGGAATTAAAAAAAATATCAATTAAAAATTTTAAGAATAATTTACTAATAGGTATAACAATATTTTGCAGGAGTGTGCCATGGAGAGGATTTAGCTTTTCTATTTTACCCAGAGGCTGCAAAAATGTTGAACTTATCACTACCTGAACCTGGTTCAGAAAATTACAGAATAACAAATTACTTCACGCAAATGTGGACGGATTTTGCTAAAACAGGGTACAAAGAATTTTTTCTTTATTTTATATAAAATCTTCAGGCATATGTTAATAATTGATTTAAACCAATTTTTAGAAATCCAACGCCTACTACAAATTTATGGTTACCAATGTCCGGTCCAAAAAACGAAGACTATAATTATTTAAATATTAATTTAAATTTACAAATGAAAACCTTCCGAAAAGAAAACGTACGCTGGAATTGGGAAAATTGTAAAAAACGTTCTAACATTCTAGCTACTTAAATTTTATTTTAAAATTACTTTCGTATGTAAATAATGAAATTATAAACGAAAGAAGTTATCATATTTATTTTAGTGTCTCATTACAAATAAGCTTATCAATTTTTAATAAAATTGATATGAATTTTTATTATTGAAAATGTCAAAGTGTTATTATAATTTTTCAATTATAATATTATTAAGAACGAAATGTATGTAAATATAACATATTCTTAATGTAATTAATATTTTCTTATATATATAATGTAAATAAATATAATATATTCTTAATTATATATAAACTTAAGAAAAAAAATGTTATTAAATTATTAAAAATTCTAGAATATAAATCATAACCTAATTTAAATTTAATTTTTATATTCATAATCGTGATTATTTTAAAGTTCATTGATAATTTTAATTTTAACTACCTAGATTATATTTTTTAATTACTTATACGTGATCTTTTTATAAGTAGCAAAGAAAAATTAAATATTAGAGGATTAAGATATTTTTGAAATAAAACAAACAATAATGTTTCCGATATATATATAATTCAAAGCAACAAGTAATAGATTGAACTAATGGGAATCAGCGATACACAATACGTAAATTATTTATAAAAATATGTCTTAATACCTGAAAGATGACTTTAACAAAATCAATAATGAGAGAAGGATCCAAAAATCTCAAACTACGTTTGCCTTTTATTTTTAATGTAAATTGTAGAAACTGCTGAAAACGCTTACTACAATGTTATTAATTTAATCGGAAGGCGCAACTAAAATGATGTCATCCACATACCGATAATAAAACGATAAGTCTAAATTCAAACTATTTAACGCTTTTTTCTCCATAAGTCAGGTTAACAGAAATGATTTGATATATGAATTATGTTAGTGGATAAATAAAATGTTTACGGACAATACAATGATTCGAAATGGGAATTAATTTTGTGGATTTTTGATAGGTCATAAGCTTTGGGTAAAATGAAATCAATGTAATACAAAGAAAAATAAGATTGTTTAGATATATTATACTCTCCCTGATATTAGTTTTTTGCATTGACCTTTCTTTTCTCAACAATCCATTGTTATATTTAAGATCATCTTAATGTGGATTAAGGAATTACATTTAATCACGAAATCGAAAAAAAAAATGAATTTTCGTAAATTTTTTTGGAAAGGTATATGTATAGTTTTGTATAAAATTTTTGTATTTAAAAGCTTTTCTTGACAAAAAATCTTTTTTTTTAATGCAAAAATATTAATTTACCGGAACCCGAATTATCTGACGTTATTCGACTCCCGAGTTATTCGTCATGAGAGCTCTATAGATGTACCTGATAATTAATTATTGAGTCTCATATTCGAACTTTATTATATTTTCTTATCGAAACAACATTCTCTAACAACCTTGAATATTATTTGCTGCATCATGAATGATATACATTAATTAAACTCTCACGTTATCGTTTAATAATATAAATATTTATTTTTTCAATCACAATACAAATAATTATACAACAAAGAGAAACAAAAAGATGCTGAATTACTGAGAAATCAAATTTTAACTGATAAGATTTTAGCAAATGGATCGTTATAACGTTTCTTTACGACTATCCCAATTCCAGCGTTCCTTTCCTTTACGAAAAATTTTCATTTCTGGATTTAAATTAATATTTAGATAATTGTAGTCTTCGTTTTGTGGACTAGTTAATGGTAACCATAAATTTGTAGCAGGGGTTGGATTTCTAAAAATCAAATTTGAATTAATTATTAATATATAATAATATATACATGTGTGTAGAATTCCTGTAAAATAAGGAAAAAAATTCTTATACCCTGTTTTAGCAAAATCCGTCCACATTTGCGTAAGATAATTTACTATTTTGTAATCTTTTGAACCATGTTTGGGTAAAGATAAGTTCAATACTTTTGCAACTTGTGGGCAAAATAGAAAAAATAATTCCTCTCCATGACACACTCCTGCAAAATATTGTTACATTAATAAATTGTTCTTAAAACAACATTCTCATTATTTTCGTTTTAAATTGACATTTTTTTTAAATTCTAAAATTGTTTAAATTTCTAAATATTAATTTTTTTTATTAAAGAAGATATTTATGTCATTACTTTATGCGTAATTTTTAGATGCGAATTGAATAGACTTAAACGTAACGTAAAGATTTAGAAGCTTCATTGGATGGTAAAAGTATAATTGTGTTTTTTTAAATAAGAAATTTTATATGATTGTGTTATACCTGGAAATCTGATTTGTTGCAACTTTTTGGAAAGAGAATTTTCGCTCTCATAATCGAAATGATATAGATACGTGGATTTATAACCACCAGAAGACTTTTGGAATTCACATACATTTATAATTTCGCGTATCAAAAATTCGTCTCCTAAGAACGACGCATAATTTATTAAAGTTTCCTCTGATATTTCTCTTTTTCCGAAATATAAAGATCTTAATTCCTCAACAGTAATTCCTATTTCAGGTAACTTGGATAATACACTTGATAATATTGTTTTTTTAAAATCAGTATTTACTTTTTCCAGGTCTTCCTTGCTTATGTCTGAAACAATTTTAAAAGTGTAATTATAGATTTTCAGTATTCAGTAAATAACGGAACACAGCTTAAAATGTAATATATACTAGTATATTACCTCCAAAAAAGTTGCTGCGTAACAAAAATGTTCCTTCGTCACGATTACACCCTAAAAGGAAGGGCACGTGAATCCCGCGGTTTATATATTCCTTTGGATGTTTAGGAAAAAATGGATTCGATGAATTGCTGTCCAGACTAGGTGTGAAGCACAGGCTAAAACTCAATTTCTCCTGTGTGATGTTACAAATGTGAAAATATTTTATTCATGTATCAAAATATTTTAGTCTCTACATACGTAACGAATCAAGCTGATGTAGGAATATATTATAATAAAATATTGAAATATTTACTTCTTCTGTGCGAAGTGGCCATTGTTCATTTTTCACAAGTATTTTCGCATCAATTGTTTTTAGAAACTCGTATGCGACTTTCGGATCTGACGTCGTCTTTCCGAGCTTTTTGGCAAGCCGAAAACCATGGTCCGTCCATTCATTGAAAGCCCAAGGATTTAAGACAACGCCACTTTGTGAAATCACTTTGTGGAATAAACCTACAAAATATAAGTCGTGATTGAATTCGTCTAGTAAATTTATTATCGTAAAATTTTGTTTTCCTTCTTTTCAACTGTATAGTGCGTAATTTTAGAATGTATCGAATGTATCAATTTTCAAATTATCGATCTCTTAGTTAATTTGGTATCGATAATTCCTTAAATAGTATTAAAAAGATTTATAACTTTCATTTTTTATAAATTTTTAAATATTAGATATTGACACTGTATGTATCTCTTTGTAATTTAAGTAAAAATGAGTTGTTACGTATGTACAACGTACACATATATATAACACACACACACACACACACACACACACACACACACACACACACACACACACACACACACACACACACAAAAACATTTTAATAATATTTATAAACAGATGAAAAATTAATAAAACAATTTCGTTCAATTTTTCTTTTATTTAGCAGCTACCTCTGAATGCATAGTGTTTGAATACTTTTATTCACAAAAAATTTAAGTTTAAGTGATAAATGAATCTAGATTAAAATATAGGAGATTTGAAGATTTTATATAAAAAAGTTTATAAATTGTACCTTTAGCTAATGGAGACAGAGCTAGACAATTTGTAATGGCTCCACCAGCACTTTGGCCAAAGATAGTGACATTTCTTGGATCTCCACCAAATTTTAATATATTTTTTTGGACCCATTTTAATGCTAAGACCACATCTTTCAAACCTTGATTGCCTGTTGCTACTTCATCGTTGAGATTTAAAAAACCTAAAAATTATATAAACTCTTCTCTTATACACTAGAAAAAGAGTCTGGTTTCATCAATTAGAATTCTGATTGAAAATGGACAAATCAGAATTTTCTAATTTAATCTATTATAATTTTAATTAAAATTTTTTTAGTTAAAATTTTAGTTAACACATAATCGGAATCTTCTGATTCGTCCATTTTCATCTAGAAATTTTTCTCAGTGTAAGATTGATATATTCGAACTAAAAATTGATGATCAAAAAATAAACAAAGAAAAGTATTTGTTTTATAATTAATAAATTAAGTACAATATAATTCTTTACTTTTTTCTTTTGAGGAAAAAACTATAAACGCGAGTAACATACAAGAAACACATTTTAAAATAATGGATGACGTACCCAGAACGCCTAATCTATAATTCAAAGTAACCAATACTACGTCTTTTTGCACAATATAATCGGGACCATACCAGCCTGAATCACCAGAACCTACAAGAAAGCCACCGCCGTGTATCCATACCATTACTGGACGCTTTTCCAAGAGTTCGATTTTCGTGGTGTACACATTTAAATAAAGGCAATCTTCATTGCCTATAGCTTCCTGTGTGGTAACATCTACTTGAAGAGCCACATTTCCGTACCTCGAGGCATCTCTTTCACCGGACCATGGTTCCGCTGGTACCGGATCCTAAATATGTAAGATATATATAAATGTACATTTAACACGATATTTATACTTTTAAAAGAAATACATATGTTAAGTCTTGTAAAGTTTATTTTACTGTAATTAGTTTGTCAACATTTGAAGAAAATTGAGACTCTTTCTTTTTAATTCTAATTTTGAAGAAAATCAGCTGAAATTCATCTTTCTATTGTTATTAATTATATTGTGCTCGTATAACGATAAGGTACTTATACACTTACCTTAAATCTCAATTCTCCAATCGGAGGTTTGGCATATGGTATTCTGCGAAAAGCAAGATAACGAACGTTATAGCCATTTACGACTACGCCGACCAATTTTCCTTCAGTTACTTCTACTCTTATTTTATTCATGATGGATATGCTGAAAGAATAAAAAAACGAGACCGATATTAAAAATCTCCTCACGTTTTTACATTATATTTATAATACTATGATATTTATAAATATATATTTGTTTAAAAAATATGTATTGATGTACGATTTGATAGTTTCTATTATAACATATATCAATGTATCAGTTACAACAGATATTTTTACTATTACTAATATCAATTATGCAAAATTAGATTACATAGATTTTAGAAACTTTAAAATAGTGATTGCAAGTTTTATCTCTGATGTTATAAGATTTTTTTTCGAGTCGATGTGTTAATACGCGATTCTCACTGACAGTTTAAAATTAAAATTATTTTTAATTCTTGATCAATAGCGACGAAAGCGATGATTATTCTCTAAATGAGGAATGAAACATATAGCCGCGTTTTTATTGCGATAGCGATACAATCTTCATATCATACATTAATTCTACAATATATAAATAATTGGCTTTATTTTATGGATTGCGTGTGCGCGTACTTAAGAGATTAACCGCAGCAGTATTATTGTTGCGCGTTTTATAATACTTACTGTTGTCCTAATGTAGGAACATCGCATTATCCAACGCGTACTATAAATGCAATTCTAATCGTGAAATGATAAAAAAAAAATAAAATAATCTTATCTACCTTTATACATATGTAGTTTTGTGATACTGTCTTCACTGACTGATTTTTCTCACATGAACGACTAATAAATAACTTCCACGTATCGATTCTTCAAAAAATACTAACTGAATTTTCAATGATATCTTTATATATACAGCTTGCAGAAAATGCAAATATGTAGATTAAGTCTGTCTTATTTTAACTCTCAAGCCGAAGCACAAATAGGCCGTTATTGACACAAAAAAATTCAATTTATTCAATTAGATGAGAGTTATACCGTTTTCGAGTGGAATGGGTTTGAATTCGAATCGATTTGGTTAACCCATGTTTGACCCGAAAGTATCATAATCCCGTCCAATCAGAAATCAAAGTAAAGCATATGACATCATCGATCCGACCCAGGTTAAATTCAAACCCACTCCATTCGAAAACATTATTAGAGAACTGACACATCACTCAGATGTACACATACATATTAACACTTTGCAGTTTTCTCAAAATTTTATCCACATTGAATTTCTTTGTATCGGTAATCTTCGCTTTTTGACTCCGAAATTAAAGTTGAATAGATGTAAATGAGAGACATGTAAAAAGAATTAGCTACTTGCGTGCAAAAATTTTGCTGCCTCAAAAGTGTGTCCATATAATTATTTATATATAGGAATGCTAAAAGAAAAAAGACGGGAAAGAAATGCTAGATATGTATCATATTTTATCTTTTCTAGTTTGCGTTTTCAAGACCGAAAAATTATTTCGGGGGGGGGGGCGCGCAGCTTAAAGGACTATATACGCAATATATAAATTCACACAGAATTATAAAAGAGCACTCATTTAAAATTTAGCTAGACCGTTAAAGGCATTTATTTCGTATTGGTTGTATTTTTTCTAATTCTAATTCTTAAGTTAAAGCTAATCTGCACTGATAAAAATATGCATTACAAATTAACTTTTTCTTAATTTTTTTTATTTTAACATTTACTTTTAATTTTTTACTTTTATAATTTATTACCTATTTATGAAATGCTTGCGCTGCTATGCTGCTTTCAATTTTGACCTTATCATGTTCTTATTTATATATTTTTTATTTTAATACGTTGTATGCCACGTTGATATTACATGACTCACCCAAGGTACCAATGATCTGCGCGAATACGAATAATGTTTACGCATACATTTTATATGTATAAATAAAACTATTTTTATATGTTCTATACTGCATTAATTTCTTCACACTATTGTAATAAAGATGGTAATATTGAAAAATTTAGAAATATTAATATTTATTCGAATTATGTGTTTCTATAATTAATCCTGACATCACCGGTCACCTGTGCTCCTCACAGCGATATCGGCAAACTGATTGTGAGTGCCAGTTACCGGTGATCCCCATGGCATTCAACATGTTAATTATGTTCGTCTCATTGTTTCTCAACATATTAATTTTGTCTCGTAATAATTTTGTTTTAATCAAAAGTTATATGAAATAAAGGAGAACTTGAGGTGAATCGAACAATATGATGATTTATATATGTATTAAAATAAAAAAATGTAGGAAAATTATTTTCCATTACTAACATCTCTGAAAAAATTTAGGTTATTAAATGAATACCTTCTGTTCCGACAAGAGATAAATTAAATAAATTTTTATTTATAATAAATATTAATCAATTCATAAATTTTTAAATATTAATAATAAATTTTTATTTTATAAATCGATATATTGATGTAATATAGATATTTATATTTTAATGAGAAAGATAGAGAAACAAAGATCATTTTCATGTTAGTGCAGCGAAAGAACCAATCCAAATAGCCAAATGCAATGAATTTATTAACACATTGCCAATCGTTGAAGCAACTAATTTCGACAAACTCGGAATAAGATAAAATCATGATACCGTTTATATAATCTTGTATAAAAAATTTTTTACCGGAATCTTATTCTGGAAAAAAAAATAAAAGATTACGCAGAAATCTTAAAGTTATTTATTTTTATTTTCCTCTACTTTATACATAAGATATAAATAACGTAAATTATGCTAAATATATATATATATACATATATGTATAGAATTAAATTTGTACTATTATATACAGAGTGTCCGGTAAGTTTTGACAAAGCGCTCATGTGTAGGGCGGATTAATTGGAGTCGAAAATTCTTCTACCATTTTGCAATTTTCGCAATATTCAACGATGTATTAAGATTTCTAAAGATTGTCGAATAAGCGAATAAAATCGACGCATAAGACAATTTTAAAATTTCTTTCAGAATTCGATCTTTATGAAATATCTTAAAGATATTTCTTAAAGAATTCTTAAAGATATCTTAAAGTTGTTTTATGCGCCAATTTAAAAAATTCTGTTCATTGGGTAACTACAAAAAAAGTTGCGAAAATCACAGAATAGTAAAGAACTTTTCGACTCAGTTTAGTTTTTCTGTTCTATCTACACACTGTATATGTATTGTCTAGAAGTCTTAACGCTAATTGTTACTTTTACATTCCTCTATCTCATAAAGGTATAAATAATGTAAATTCAACTCTTTACATATATGTATACTGCAGTTAAATTTACATTATTTATACCATTACCTAAAAATAGCAGATATATGTTTTTCAAATAAAATAAATATTTATTTTTAGTTACCCGGGAAAAAATGTTATATATTTTAAATATAATTATATATACTTGTATATAAAATATGTCAATTTTTTATATAATATTATATAATTATATATAATTATATATGTAAATATTTTCTCCCGGGTAATATTATACATTGTACAATTTTTTGTAAAAGTAATAATCATTAATTGTTCATTAAATATTTATTTTACATTAATTACACTAGCAAATCCCTATGGCACAAAGTTGCACGAAAGTTGCAGCAACACAACATTACATGTTGCAGCAATATTGCAAAGATTTTGCAGCGATGTTACTGTAAATTCTGTGTGCTGTATGGAAAAATTTATTTCAAATCCAACTAGGCATTTTTTATAGATATTTTTATGCTTGCACTTCTGAAACACTTTTTTAGCGCAGAAAACATCGAGACTTTGTAAAATATTATCTAAGGATGTTGAAACAGATTATAGAATATTATAAAGAGTATATCTAATAAGCAAATTTAAATTTATTAAAGATGTTATAAAATTTATCTAAATTTTATAAAATCTATGATAGATATAAGTGTCAATAAAAATAACAACACCTACACATACACACATTGTGCATAATTATTTGTGTGATCGCAAGACATATTTTGAATTATACAGGACTACAATTAAACAACTAGTATTTGTATATTGCGGTTTCCGGTTTCAACTTTGATTTCTTGTGGCCATTTTTTGGCTATACGTGGCGAATACATAAATGTGATTCTTATCAGAGGTATATATATATATACACAGTGAGTGCAAAAAGTATTTGTACAGAGAAAATTTTTTTTAAAAAGCTTTATTTTTATAAAGTAAGTATTATCCAGCGAGAAATGAGTCGTCGAATTGATATCGAATCGATATAAATACGATGATTTCAACACCAATTTAATGTCGATTCGACATTTAATTGACGATCATTTCTTGTTGGGTAATTAACAATTTATTCATAAAAAAATAAAATAGACTGTATGTTTCGTAAAATTATATATACCAAAAGGATGTGTATTAATTATAGAAAATATGTCATCTACAAAATAAGCGAAAATTAAAAATTGTATCGTTTGGATGCTCGAAAAGTATTTATACAGTTGAGAAATTTGGCTTTGAAAATCAGGAATACATGCGAAGCTCGTTGTTTATGTTAGAACAGAATGTATTCGTTGTATGAAATTATGACAGCGTTAATACTGCGAGAGAGAGCGAAGTAAAATTTTTAATTTTATATATTATTGTAATATTCTAATTTAACATTGATAATAATCCAATAGGGATCGAAACGTTTGTTTCATTTTTATTTTTGTCTTATTGTTTATAGCCGACACATTAAAGTTTTATATTTTAATGATATCTTTATTTACTAAGTTTTAAATTATAACGATAAATCTTTAGCTCGTAGCCCTATTCCTTTTTGTTTTTTGAGCCTTATTACTATTATATTTTAATAACTTAAATTTTTACAGTGATGCGAACTTCCATAAAATCAGCTGTTATTAATAGTATCTCGTCAGTGTCGAGAACAATTCTCGTGAATAGCAACTCTCGATTCCATTCAAAATTATCGAGTTCATTCAAAATTACCGCGGTGAAATGTTTAAATGGCCGCGTCTAGGCGCGTCTAGCATCTGCGTAGTAAAGTCACTAGATTTATAAATCTAGTGACTTTACTGCGTAGTGTGAAATTTGTCTCAAGAACGAACACACCTGAATTTCTTCCACCATGATCTTCACGCGCGGTATATCCTGTTCTGTGTATGTCCACGTCAGTTTACACGTTTTTCTGAGGACGTGATTCGGGAACGGCGGTTTGCTCGAAACCTCGTAATAGTCGATGAACGAAACGTTCACGCAGATGACAAGTAACCTAGACATTTCCTAGCGTAAACGTAAAGGTATTCATTACGATTTCGCAGAATTAATTCAGATCGTGCCGAGTGTACAAAACAGCGCACAAGCAATCGGCGATATCCTTCGAGCCTACCGACTAACGTGTACGTTGTTTTCTTTTTTCCGAACAGTGCAACGAAGATGCATTGGACATTATTCGCGCTGATAATCGGATCGTTTGGATCCAAATACATTCTCGTCCAGGCGCAAAGGGTCGCACCGGGAGTACCGCCTCAGCATTATCAGCAGGTAACTCGCTTTTCTCAATCAATTGGTGAACATATGTTTAGCGGTGTTTCCTGGTACCACATGACGTGGAAACCGATTCTCCAAACAAGGCGTGAAGCCGGTATACTTAATTTTATCTATTAGTAAATAAACATTAAATTAATTATTAGCCCGTGTATTTTTGATATCCAAATACACAGTGGAATTGTATCTACATAAATCCTTTCGTGAAAGTATTTAACATGATTCATAAAATAAACAGCTGTTATTTAGTATTATAATAGTTTGATATACACAGGGTTGAATAAGTTAACTATTTTTTTTTTAACTAAGTTGAGTTAAAGTTATCAGCCTTGAAAATTTAACTTAATTAAAATACAAGTTAATCCATAATGAAATTAATTGAATTAAAAGTTAAGTTAATAAAAAAAGTAATTGAAAAATTAAAAGTTAAATTTGGTCCGAAGGAACAACCAAAAAAAAAAAGAAAGAGTTTGACCATTTTACATAATTTTTCCTTTCTCAGCATATTTATTAAAGAATCTAGTTATTTTTGTTCACAAGTAATGATTATACAATATAAAATTACTAAATTATATACTCATCCTCTTGCATTGTGTCTGAGAATTAACTTAAAAAAAAAATCAACTTAAAAGTTATATATAATAGTCTAAAATGTAACTAAGTTAAATTAAAATTAATTAACTTTTTAACTTAACTTTTATCTTTTTAATTTAGCACTACCCAACCCTGGATATACATTGTATTATTTATTTTTTATTTATACATTATTTTATCATTGTCTGTTTCAGAATATTCAAGTACCGCAACATGCACAGCAAGTACCACAGCAACAGGTAGATTTATATTTACATTATCTGTGTATGTGTGTGTGTGTGTGTGTGTGTGTGTGTGTGTGTGTGTGTAAAACTATCATCTTCAATATATATCTAATTTATATGTGGCTTTTTCTTCGATATGTGTTTGAATTAGGATCAAGTATCAATTTCAATAGTATCTAATTTAATAACATTCTGTTCAAGTATCAAGTACCAGTACAGCAGCAGGTTCCTATGCAACAGCAAGTACCTATGCAACAGCAAGTACCGATGCAACAAGTACCTGTACAACAGCAGGTACCTATGCAACAACAAGTACCTGTACAGCAGCAAGTACCCATTCAACAAGTACCTGGTCATCAGTCTCAGAACCATCAACCACATGGGCATGGTCATCAAGGGCCACCTCAGTTACTTAACACTGCCAATATAGAGCATGAAAAAAAGTAGGTATTTGGATATATAAAAATTTAGTTTAGCTTTATACATATATATATAAATAAAATATGTATAATATATAATAATTACTATTAGATATAATATAACAATAATTATATAACGATAGTATTTCTTTTCTTTTAGACACATTGCTGAACATGCTGACGTTCCAATAGATACCAGCAAGATGACAGATCAGGAGCTGCAGTTTCACTATTTCAAAATGCACGATGCAGATAATAACAATAAGTTAGATGGTTGTGAGCTGATCAAGTCTCTTATACATTGGCATGGTACATACGAACTAAGTCCATCTCTCTCTTTCTCTTATTACAATTTTTCTCATATAATGAATTTTTAAGTTTTTTCTTTATATCCGTAGAACAAGGTGGCTCGGAATCTGGTGTACAAGGCGATAAATTGTTCAAAGATGAAGAATTAGTGCAATTGATAGATCCTATACTTAGCATGGACGATGGTAACAACGACGGTTATATCGATTATCCGGAATTTATTCGAGCTCAACAGAACGCCGCAGCTAATACACGTACATAAATTTTGGTGAATTAAACTCTACGAACTGCGACCAAAAAGGATCTCGTAAAATCGAAGGAATGCAGGGATTGTTGGATTTTCATTATGACTGTTTAATGATGCATTATTTATTCATCATTCATTCTATATATATATATATATATATATATATATAAAGTAGAATCGATATTTGTGATAATGCATCCTTTATCGACTTAATTATGAATTATAAATAAGAAAATAGAACACACAAAGAAGGGAGAACTTTTTTTATATTATACATGTATATACAATATGACAATGTTATACATGTATTACAGGCAATAGAAATTGGAACAATTGTATAATTGAAAATAATATTGTACAATTAAAGATAAAATTGAGGAATACAAAATTCCTCTTAGTTATTTGCGTTAGACGAGATTAATTTGAACAATGACAATATTTACTCTGCGCATCATTATTGTTCAAGATGGTTATAATGTTCTATCGTTATTAAACTCGATTTTTTAATACACCAGAAGACTATTTTTAAATGAGAATATTTTATAGAATATCTCTAACTCTGTTAATAAATAAAATGGCCATTTATCAGTTTTTTCATTGTTGAATATATGAAATAATAATTTGCAAAATAATATTTATATTAAGATAATAAATGTTTCATCTTCTAATGAATATTTAGAAATAATACTAATAAGGCATAAAAATATAATAATAATGCATAAATGTACTTTTATCTAGCGTCAATTATCTAGTATTAATTGATAAAATTGTTTATAATTCTGTTAATTATGTTACATTCCAAAACTTTGTGGCAAGAGATTTTTATTACAAAAAATATTTAGATAAGGATAAATATAATGTGTATATAGAAAAATCAGTAATAATAACAGTAATTCGTAAATTTATTGATTTTTACATTTCTATATCAAAATGCTATCAATAATCACAAAATACTTACAATTTTATATAATGTGAATAAGCATGACAACAAAACTTTATCTTTACAGATTAACATACTAGTATATATGTGTATGTACAGGGTGTCTCTTAAGTAAGGTCGGGACCGCATTGGGGGCGTAGAATGGGTCAAGAGGAATAAAAAAGTCTCATACCATTTTGAGATATCTGCTGTAGTTTTCGAATTAAAAAAGGAAACCAATGTGCGGTGAAGCTGCGCCGCGCGAATTCGTAGCACCTCACTCCATAGCGACGACACGAGGAGGATAGCGCTTCGCCGCCTGGCATAGCGGTTCTGTCCCCCCCCTCCCCCGCCGTCGTAAAGTGAGGCGCGTTGGGCGGTGCTATGAATTCGCGCGGCGCGGCTTCACCGCACATTGATTTAGACGTTTCCTATTTTAATTCGAAAACTATAGCGGATATCTCAAAATGGTATAAGACTTTTTTTGTTCCCCTTGACCCATTCTACGCCCCCAATGCGGCCCCAACCTTACTTAACAGACACCCTGTATATCTGTTCGCAGATTTTAATAATTCGATCATGGGAATATAACATAATATGAAAATATGATAAATACACATTAAATGACTAGATTGCAATAATATATTAAATGACTAGGTTGCAATTAATTATATATAAGCAACTCATATTCACTTATAAATACATTCCGTTAACTAAATAATCGGCGTCATGTGCAAAAGGTCCGTGTCCGCATCTTCCTCGTCGTTTTACTACTCGCAATCGGCAAACAATTAAAGCAGCTGTAATCGCGGTCGCGATAAGTCCCAATGATAACGATATCACGGCACCTTTGGGCCTTAAAACGTCATTTTCAATTATTTGAAGATGCTCCGCAATAATGTCGGGTTTCTCATGTGTCTTTGCGTGCTCTTCGATTACGATCACAGTTTTATGATCTGAAAGAATAAGTCTTGTTATAACAAATAGATAAATGCATTGTACATACAAGATATTCAAAAAGTTTATTTAAAACTTTATGAATATATAATAATAATTACAGCACTTGCATGAGTCTACACATATACATGTTAACAAAGACTAATTTTTTTATAATTTATTTGCAAATATAAAAGATGCTAGGGATAGGCTAGTATTATTGAAGATAGATTTGTGCATTTACCTTTTAATTCTTTTGCACGATTATGTTTAGTAACCTCATTTGCTGATAAAGTTGGTTTTTCAGTGACTTTTTTGCTCGTCTTTACATGTGTCAAATACGTATCGATTTTTTCTTTCTTTACAGGTTCTTTATTTTCATTTGTCAATTCATTTTTATGTTCCTCCGAGGTCTATTAATGAAAAATTATTCGCATAACTTTTCAAGATTCTATCATAATTCCAATTGCCGAGGGACGTACTTACATCACAAGCAGGCGTCGTCGTAATTGAAAGATTTTCTGCATCAATGACTTGCTTGGGTTGAGAATTTGGTGCAACAGATGGTGAAAACTGCACAGGATTTTCTTGCCAAACTGGCACTTTGTTTGACGATGGAAAATGTGGAGAATACGGATGTTTAGATTCCATGTACAGCCCCCTAACATAAAATTGTAAATTAACCAAAAAAATAGGGTTTATCTGTTAGTTTAATATAATAATCAAAAGAAACTATAAGTTTAGATTACCTATTCGCTTCATTATTTTCTATGACGCTCGAACCTTTGTGATTAAATATGTGTGGTTGTTCTGAAAACATTCACAGTATAAAAATTTACACAATCCAATCACAAATACGTGTGACAGAATAATAAATATTTTTTTACATACGTTCGTAGGGATTTATATGTTGTTCGTGAACAGTATTAACAGGAACGTAAGGATCCTTGTTTTGCTCGTACAAAGGCTGATAATCCCATTGGTATCCTGACGATCCATAATTCTTGTGCATTTGCATTTGCGGCACCTCTACCGGTTGGCCAGGATATAAAATATTTTGCGGCTGCGACATTTGATGGGCCAGATTCGATATATCCCAAGGTTTAGGATTAATCTCCGGTCCAGGATAGAACGGAGGAAGAGGCTTTCGCTGATTGACTATTTGCTGATATCGAAGGATATCGGCAGGCGGATGTGGCATCTGTATTATTGGAGGAACTGTCGGTTTCTCCGTAGGACATACAAGATCTGCCGCTTCATCGGAACCATCTGCACACTGCGGAATACCGTCGCAAACATTGTATATAGCTATGCAATCTCCGGATGAACGACACTCGTATTGATTTCTGGTGCAAGCTGTTATTAAAGAAAGATTTGTATTATGTATTGATCTAGAAATTCTTTGGCTTTTTATAACTCACATTGACGAATAAACGTACCTGGTTTGACCGGTATTGGTGTAGTTACTATTACTTTTGATATTTGTGTGACTACAGGTTTAACAGGTGTTTCTGTAAATCCGTAATCCGACGTTATCTCATTGCTTTTCCTAAGACACAAAATTTAATTAATCACAAAATCGATAAGGAAAATAAAGGTAATTGAAAATAAAGAGGTAATTGATTAAATACCTCTGCTGAGATATTTTAACTTCCTCTTCCACTTGTACATTCTGTATAGGATAACTCGTGCGCACAGCGCTTGTATAATTCGCATGCCTTGTAAACTTGCATTTGAAGTCATGCAATGGACCACACTGGAAAAGATAGCAGCTACTCGGTTTCTGTAAGACAAATCGACGAGATGAAAAATTGATCTGACAAATCCTAGATCTAGTGAAGCACTCCAGTTAAATGGAATGAGAATTATCGTTCATACATTGTATACATAACAATGTGTTGCATGTATTACCTTTTCTTCGAAGATGAACACATCGCAACGCTCGGTCTCGCAACAGTACTTCAGACAATCCAATCTGGAGTCAACGTCCAGGACGTTCAAGTACTTGGCACCCATATCGCGGGAGTCCTGGGTCCTAATAATTTTGTCCTTGTGGATGTCGAAGCTCTCGAGGCACATCTGATAGTCGTTCGTGCCGCCGTGCCTCTTCTCGCTCGCTCGGATCACGCTATCGCCGTAAGCACGGTGCAGAATCGCGGCGACGAAAATCAAGGGAACGACCTGCCGCGCTCCGTCAAACATCGTTCCGGCATCAATGCATCACCATGCATTACACGAGACACTGGACTGGAGCAGACTGGAGCAGACTGGAACATGGTAGAAGGATCCCTTCCATTATGGACTGGAGTATCCAAGTTGCGCGCGCTGGCCGCTGTTCTACTATGGTTCCGTCCATATCACGATCGATAGTCGAATCTTTGTCAGACGGCAAATTCATCGAGTCTTTTCCACCTTTCGTGACTTCAAACATCAAAATATACGTATAGATCTGCCTGGAATTTTTTTTTATTTTCTTTATTCTTTGCCTCTCTCAGTGTAAATTAAATTATTTGTCTCTTCTAATTATAAATTTCTTCAGCGCGAGATTATTAATTATTAATTAAGTTACGAAGTCGTGCATAGCGTACCCGTGGCATCCATGCCGGTTAATGCCGATTGAATGTCGCGAGAATTTAAATTGCAATTGCAACGTAACAATTTTTGCAGAAATATGTGAGATATGATCGCATAATAAGACTTTCTAATAAATTCAAGATGTAAACAGATTCTTTCCATCAATCTCGACTTAACTATATAATTCTTTATAACTACCCTATAAGCGCATAATATTATTTAATATTAAATAATATTTTAGGCATATTCTCAGAATATTAAATATAACATTTTAATAATATTTTA